CAGGAGCAGCGGGAGCTGCCCCCCGAAGAGTCCCGGAGACGGCTGGGGTGAGATCCTCAAAGAATTCCCTCCCAAAAAAATTCCACAAAAATTCCCAAAAATATTGCACCAAAAAATTCCACAAAAAATTCCCTGAGGTTCTGTGGAAATTCGCGCAAAATTCCTGCAAAAAATCGGCCGAAATTCCCGCAAAATTCACCCGAAATTCACCCAAAAATAGGGAAAATTCAGCCAAAATTCCCACCAAAAATCACCCAAAATTCCCTCAAAAATCACCCAAAATTCCCACAAAAATCACCCAAAATTCACCCAAAAATAGGGAAAATTCAGCCAAAATTCCCACAAAAATCACCCAAAATTTACCCAAATATAGGGAAAAAATCAACCAAAATTCCCACCAAAAATCACCCAAAATTCCCACAAAAATCACCCAAAATTCCCACAAAAATCACCCAAAATTCACCCAAAAATAGGGAAAATTCAGCCAAAATTCCCACAAAAATTCCCACAAAAATCATCCAAAATTCCCACAAAAATCACCCAAAATTTACCCAAATATAGTGAAAAAATCACCCAAAATTCCCACCAAAAATCACCCAAAAGTCACCCAAAATTCCCTCAAAAATCACCCAAAATTCCCACAAAAATCTCCCAAAATTCCCATAAAAATCACCCAAAATTCCCACAAAAATCACCCAAAATTTACCCAAATATAGGGAAAAAATCACCCAAAATTCCCACCAAAAATCACCCAAAATTCACCCAAAATATTCCCCCAAAAAAAGAAAAAATCATCCAAAATTCCCATAAAAAATCTGGGAAAAATCACCCAAAATTCCCGCAAAAATCTCCCAAAATTCACCCAAAATTCCCACAAAAATCTCCCAAAATTCCCATAAAAAACACCCAAAATTCCTGCAAAAAATATGGAAAAATTCACCCAAAATTCCCACAAAAATCACCCAAAATTCCCACCAAAAAAAATCCATGGGAATTCACCCCAAATTCCCGAAAAAAATCTCCCAAAATTCCCACAAAAAATCACCCAAAAATAGGGAAAAAATGATCCAAAATTCCCACAAAAATCACCCAAAATTCCCACAAAAGTCACCCAAAATTCCCACAAAAATCTCCCAAAATTCACCCAAAATCACCCAAAATTCCCATAAAAATCACCCAAAATTTCTGCAAAAAATATGGAAAAATTCACCCAAATTCCCATAAAAATCACCCAAAATTCCCACAAAAAATCACCCAAAATTCACCCAAAATCTCCCCCAAAAATAAGGAAAAATTCCCCAAAATTCCCCCAAAAATTCACTCAAAATTGCCCCACAAAAATCTCCCAAAATTCACCCAAAATCTCCCAAAATTCCCAAAAAAAATCACCCAAAAATAGGGAAAAAATGATCCAAAATTCCCGTAAAAATCACCCAAAATTCCCACAAAAATCTCCCAAAATTCCCCAAAATCACCCAAAATTCCCATAAAAATCACCCAAAATTTTTGCAAAAAATATGGAAAAATTCACCCAAAATTCCCACCAAAAATCTCCCAAAATTCACCCAAAATATCCCCCAAAAATAAGGAAAAATTCCCCAAAATTCCCCCAAAAATTCACTCAAAATTCCCAGAAAAACCACCCAAAATTCCCACAAAAATCACCCAAAAATGGGAAAAATTCACCCAAAATTCCCACCAAAATCTCCCAAAATTCCCACAAAAATCTCCCCAAATTCCCCAAAATTCCCCCAAAATTTCACCCAAAATTCCCCCCATAAAAATCACCCAAAACTCACCCAAAATTCCCGAAAAAAATCTGGAAAAATTCACCCCAGATTCCAAGAAAAACCTGGAAAAGATTTTGGGTCAATTCCTCCCGATTTTGGGTCAATTTTGGACAATTTCGAAACCACCTCAATCCTGCCTCAGTTTCCCTGGGAATTTTGGGAATTTCAGCTCCCAAATCCCGATTTTCCCAAAATCCTGATGGAATTGAGGGGATTTGGGTGGGAATTCTGAAAGATTTTGGGTCAATTCCTCCCGATTTTGGGTCAATTCCGAGGGATTTTGGGTCAATTTTGGTTCTTTTTGAAACCTCCTCAATCCTGCCTCAGTTTCCCTGGGAATTCTGGGAATTTCAGCTCCCAAATCCCGGTTTTTCCCCCGTTCCCAGGCTCCTGGTGGATCTGATGGACTCAGACAGCTCCTGGGGGGGGGTCCAGGATGGGAATTTTGGGTCAATTCCGAGGGATTTTGGTCAATTTCGAAACCTCCTCAATCCTGCCTCAGTTTCCCTGGGAATTTTGGGAATTTCAGCTCCCAAATCCCGATTTTTTCCCCGTTCCCAGGCTCCTGGTGGATCTGATGGACACAAACAGCTCCTGGGGGGGGGTCCAGGATGGGAATTTTGGGTGAATTCCTCCCGATTTTGGTTCTTTTTGAAACCTCCTCAATCCTGCCTCAGTTTCCCTGGGAATTTTGGGAATTTCAGCTCCCAAATCCCGATTTTCCCAAAATCCTGATGGAACTGAGGGGATTTGGGTGGGAATTCCGAAAGATTTTGGGTCAATTCCTCCCGATTTTGGTCAATTTCGAACCCTCCTCAATCCTGCCTCAGTTTCCCTGGGAATTTTGGGAATTTCAGCTCCCAAATCCCGGTTTTTCCCCCGTTCCCAGGCTCCTGGTGGATCTGATGGACTCGGACAGCTCCGGGGGGGTCTCTGCGGAGGAGCTGCGGGCCTGGATCCTCCGGAGGCACCGCGGATCCCGGGAGGAATCGCTGAGGATCGAGAGATCCCGCCTGGATCTGGACGGCGACGGCGCCGTGGGCTGGGACGAGCTGCAGCGGGAAAGCTTCGGAGACGGAGGTGGGAAATCCGGGAATTCCGGGAATTCCGGGAATTCGGGAGTGGGGGAGGGGTTGGGGGATTTGGGGGATTTTTTTAAAATTTTTTTTTAATTTTTGGGGGCATTTTTGGGGATTTTTTTGGGAATTTTTGGGGGATTTGGGGGGGATTTTGGGGGATTTTTTGGGATTTTTTTGGGAATTTTTTGGGGATTTTTTGGGATTTTTTGGGAATTTTTGGGGATTTTTTGCGATTTTTTTGGGAACTTTTGGGGATTTTTAGGGATTTTTTGGGATTTTTAGGGATTTTTTGGGGAATATTTGGGGGATTTTTTGGGATTTTTTGGGGAGTTTTAGGGGATTTTTGGGGATTTTTTTAGGAGTTTTTAGGGATTTTGGGGGGATTTTTTGGGATTTTTTTGAGATTTTTTGGGGATTTTTTGGGATTTTTTAGGGATTTTGGGGGGAATTTTTTGGGATTTTTTTGGGGAATTTTTTGGGATTTTTGGGGATTTTTTGGGGAATTTTTTGGGATTTTGGGGGATTTTTTTGGGAATTTTTTTTGGATTTTTAGGGGATTTTTGGGGATTTTTTGGGATTTTTTAGGGATTTTTGGGGGATTTTTTGGGATTTTTGGGGATTTTTTTGGGAATTTTTGGGGGATTTTTTGGGATTTTTTGGGGATTTTTTGGGATTTTTTTGGGATTTTTTTGGGATTTTGGGGGATTTTTTGGGAATTTTTTGGGGGATTTTTTTGGGAATTTTGGGGGATTTTTAGGGATTTTTGGGGAATTTTTGGGGAATATTTGGGGGATTTTTGGGATTTTTTTGGGATTTTTTTGAGATTTTTTGGGGAATTTTTTGGGATTTTTTTTGGAATTTTTGGGGGATTTTTTCGGAATTTTTGGGGATTTTTTAGGGATTTTGGGGGGATTTTTTGGGATTTTTTGGGAATTTTTTGGGGATTTTTGAGGATTTTTTTTGGAATTTTTTGGGGATTTTTTGGGATTTTTTTGGAATTTTGGGGGGATTTTTTGGGATTTTTTTGGGAACTTTTGGGGATTTTTAGGGATTTTTTGGGATTTTTTTGGGGAATTTTGGGGGGATTTTTTGGGGATTTTTTTTTGATTTTTTGGGGATTTTTTAGGGAATTTTTGGGGGATTTTTTGGGATTTTGGGAGATTTTTTGGGATTTTTTTGAGATTTTTGGGGGAATTTTGGGGGATTTTTTGGGATTTTTTAGGGAATTTTGGGGGGATTTTTTGGGGATTTTTTTTGGATTTTTTTGGGATTTTTTAGGGAATTTTTTTGGAATTTTTGGGGGATTTTTTGGGGAATTTTTTGGGATTTTTTGGGGTATTTTTTTGGGATTTTTTTGAGATTTTTTGGGGAATTTTTGGGGATTTTTTTGGGAATTTTTGGGGAATTTTTTGGGATTTTTTTGGGATTTTTTTTTTATTTTTGGGGATTTTTAGGGATTTTTGGGGATTTTTTGGGGAATATTTGGGGGATTTTGGGGATTTTTTTGGGGGATTTTTTGGGGAATTTTGGGGGATTTTTAGGGATTTTTTGGGGAATATTTGGGGAATTTTTTGGGATTTTTTTTGGGAATTTTTTGGGGAATATTTGGGGGATTTTGGGGGATTTTGGGAGATTTTTTGGGATTTTTTGGGGATTTTTTAGGGAATTTTTGGGGAATTTTTGGGGATTTTTTGGGGGATTTTTGGGATTTTTTTGGGATTTTTTTGGGATTTTTTGGAGGATTTTTTGGGATTTTTTTGGGGATTTTTGGGGGATTTTTTTGGATTTTTTAGGGATTTTTTTTGGGATTTTGGGAGATTTTTTGGGATTTTTTTGAGATTTTTTAGAGAATTTTTGGGGATTTTTTGGGGAATTTTTTGGGATTTTTTCCCCAATATCCCCCAAATTTTCCCCAATTTTTTCCCCAATTTTTCCCCATTTCTCCCCTCCATTTCCCCCCCAATTCCCCAAAAATTCCCTAAAAATTCCCTAAAAA